CCAAGGACAATTGGAAATCGGCAATCGGAGTGGGTGTGTTTCGGAACTAAATGGGGCATGACTAATAAGTAAAGCTGCTTATGGAAAGCTACTTCATTGAATTAAAGTGGTCCTGTTGATGATCAAGTGCCAATAAGGATATAATATTGAAGTGTAATATATCTAATTGATATTTCTGTGACATTACTTGTTTTATGTTAGCAAAGTTAACTTTATATATTTGTATGTTTACTCCATTAGAATAAATGTTGTACTTTAAAAACCCTTTTTTTTGTTTAAAAAATTTTTTTTTTTATTTATTTATTTTTTTTATTTTTTTGCATTGAATAAATTCTATAAAATAATGAAAATCAATATTGAATAAATTATTAAAACATCCAACTTAATATTCTTTCCTTTCAAAAACCTCTTTTATGTTTTTAAAAATATTCTGTAACAACTTTTTACTGCCTTGAATAAATTCTTTTAAACAGTCAAAATCAATATCCATCCCTCGGCAATACAATCTCTTAAAATACTCTGACATTCGCTATCCATATCTCACATTAATGACCTCATAGACATAAAACCGAGATACAAACACAGGCATAATATACATAGTCTTTTTCTCTATTCCCATGAGCATATCTTCCCCCTCAAATCTGAACTAAACTCACAAGCACAGAACACAGAAAAACGAGCGACAGAAATTCGAATCATGGCATGCCATGCTCTATAACATCCCATCCATTTATGCGCTGCTGCTAAAGCCAAAACCAAAACCAGCCCAAAAAGGTACGACCAAACCACCTTGAGATATAAGATAAATAAGTAAACTCATGCCAGTGCCCGTGGCCCAAGTAGCCCAAGTAGCCCGAGAAAGACGAAAACCAATCGCAAAATTACCTGACATCGTGAACTGAACCGAGTGAAACCCAAAACTACCAGCTTAATCCCCAGTGCGGCGGAATCCGGGAAGGGGGAATTACTTATATATATATAGAGAATATGGGTATAGTATAGGGTATATGGAGACAAAAGGGCGCGAGGTAGGTAGTAGAACGTATAAACGAACCATAAACGAGCCAAAAACCGAACCGAAAACTAAACTTCCTAGGCGAACAATGGCTGGAGATACTGCGATACAGAGATACAAAAGATATGTGGCCAACAAAGGTTAGGGACTGGAATTGGAATTGGGATTGGGACTAGAGACTGAAACCCAGACCGGAGCATCAGCTTGATGGCTCCGATGATAATGACGCTGCACGAAATTTCACGAAGAACCCAGGAGCAAAGGCAGCCATTAGGGTGACTCTGTGGGAGGGGAATCGGGGAATCTGGGAATCGGAATCTGCAGATTGGGAAGGGAAAATGAAGGGAGGGAAAAGGAAGACGGTGAAGGAGCTTTAGGAGGAGGACGTGGACCTGGCACGGGGAATCCCCCCGGGGACTGACGAGGGACAACTCTCGAGGCGATTAAGATAAAGTGCCAATCGATATAAGGGAAAGAAAGGCAAGAACTGAACTGAACTGAGCAGAACAGAACAGGCGAACTGAACTGAGCGAGCTGAGATGTCGAGATACTCGTACTTGGAGCTACATCCACGTCCACGTCCAACGTCCGCATCCGATGCTCTGTATATATTTACAGCCGCCGACAAAATATTAGTGGCGCTTAGAGAAAATTAATATATCTTTGGAAAATGAGAGATATTTGATATTTACTAAACATACAGTTAATATTGGGAATTGAATTTTATATATTTTCGTAAAAAACTAGACATCGAAAAAGAGAGACAAACGCAAGTTGGAGTCTTTTTAAAAATTGTTCGAAATCGGAAAAGAGGGCAAAAAGCAAGATGGCACCTTTTTTTACTTAGAATTCGAAAATGAGAACATATAGCAAAATGGCGTATTTTCGAAAATATTTATAAATCGAAAAAGAGAGCAAAAAGCAAGATGGCGTTTTTCGATAATAATTCGAAATCGGAAAAGAGCAAAAAGGAAGATGGTGTCTTTTCGAAACTATTTAGAATTCGAAAATAATAGTAAAAAGCAAGATGGCGCCTTTTCGAAACTATTTAGAATTCGAAAATAAGAGTAAAAAGGAAGATGGCTTATTTTCGAAATTACTTCGAAATCAAAAAAATATGAGTAAAAAGCAAGATGGCTTACTTTCGAAATTACTTCGAAATCGAAAATAAGAGTAAAAAGCATGATGGCTTATTTTCGAAATTACTTCGAAATCGAAAAAGAGATCAAAAAGCAAGATGGCAACTTAAATTACTGTTAAAAATGCAATAAATAATTAAATTAATAAAAAACCTAAATTTAAATCCTATAAAATTCGATACATCTCCAAAACTTTTCCAAACCACTATTGCCTTGGCCGCTGCTGTGAATATATAGCCATACTCAGAGCCTCAGAGTCTGAGCCATAGCCATAGCCATACCCATAGCAATAGCAATAGCCATAGCTTGGGCCATAGAGAGCGACATAAAAGGAAATATAAAACCATTTATAAAGCGAGTCAGTCAGGGGAGATTTGAATTGGAATTGATGGTGTAGTGCACTCGACATTGGCTCGGTGTGTGTGTGTGCGGATATACGGATATACGGATATACACACGGACACTCAAGACATAGACGAAGCGCAGTCGCTGTACAAGTGTGTGTGTGTCAAGGTGCGAGCATAAGATATTTTCAAGATGGAAAAGTGGAAGGGTTCCTTGGGTTTGGGTTCCTTTTCCTTCGGAACCGAACTTCGACCGAGCTTGGGTTTCTCGGGCTGCGAAACTTTGACGCCGGCAGCGCTGCTGCCAAGAAGTTTCCGGCACAAAAACTTTGCTCAAGTAGAGCGAACAGCTGCCCAGGGCGGGGAAAAGGACGGAATCAGCCAGCGAGAGCGATGGAACAGTGAGCAACCCCTAAGCTGGCCGGGAGATAGAGCCCAGTTCCGTAAATCCGTGTCAACAACTTGGGGAAATGGTCGGTGGTAACCTCAAGTAAACCCCCCCTGGGACTTGGCCATTCGTATCTGTCAAGTTTGCCTTTACAATCTAGGAAATTCACTTCTATAATGAGAGCAACAAAGGAGGATTTTCATTATTAGCCAAGATAAACGGATCTTGAGATTAGCCAGCTCTAGAATTCTCATTAATTTTGGAAACACTTATGATTCAACCCCCATATCGACATCTTCTGAGATTTCTTCCTCTATGTCTATTTCATGTTCCAAATTGCCTCGAATTTCTCATAATAAAAATTTCATAAGAAAAGACCCTTATATGGTTTTTAGTTACTTCTTATGTAATAGAAAATAGCTAAAATAATACATTTTAACATCCTTCTTTCCATATAAGAGTAGTAATAAATAAACAAAAACCATGTTTTAATTATCATCTTTCTAAAATTAGAAAAGTTTACTCCCATTTGACTATTATAACTACTTATTGTTGTTTCTATATATAACACTTTAATCCAGCACAAGTTATTTCCCATTGCCAAAATGATAAGATGCTAACTATTCGATCGAACTTTAAAAACAAGTTTAAAATTAATTATAGCCAGTTTTTAAGTACAGTGAAAGTCAAGGAATTAACCCAAAACCAAAAACTAAAGAAGACAAATCTCGCTGTGAGAATAAAACGAAACGGACATGCTGTTCGCATTAAGTCATCTCGATTCCGATCTCGATCTCTGGGGGTCTGTGTTAATCCAAAGACCGGCTCTGAGTCAACCCACCTGGGATTTCGTGACTCCGTGACTCAGCTTAGCTCTAAAGGCGTATATATCTCTCTGGAGGCGTTTGGTAAAAGGAGGCGCGGCACTGAGACGTTCGCTTTAACCAGGCATCTCTGTGAAAATCCCCAGCAGTGTGTATCTGAGCGATATCTGAAATACAAGACACAAGTGGGTGTGTGTTCGTGAGCGGAGAATACTTCCCAAATAGGGGGCTCTGGAGGTATGGCTTTGGTTCTGCTTTTCTGGTTTTTTGGGGGCTGTATCGATTTTCAACTATCAGCAATTTTATAGCTTTCTGTGGTGCGTGTGTATCTGTATCTTTATCTATAGCTGTTGTATCTTCTTCTCTCCAAAGTGCTCGTGCTATTGGCAGATGCTATTTGAAGGCCTCCAGTTTGCGTCTATATAAGATTCAGATTCTCTGATAACCTCTTTATGTTAATGCTTTTGAGTTGTCATAATTTCGATGAGTCATGTGCTCGAGTTTCGAGTCCCCGGAGATAAACACTAGCACGTTCGCCGAATTGATTATACATTTATTTATCATTTATAACAGTTGTCCTTGTCGAATAGCTGATTCATTGGTTCGGAGTAAATATCTGTGTTCTGAGAAACTGCGATCGATCGGGGAATTTACACATGTTAATCATTCAGATCATCAAGTTAATTTTATGCTGTTAGCTAAATTACTCATTTTAGACTTTTTTATCTCTATATCAATATTTGTTTGTAATCAAAATATGACGATAAATATTATGACAATTTTTTTAATTCTTGTGGACAAACCTGTTAGCGATTAGGAAATAGGACCTTTACAAAAAAACAGGACTTTTTATGTGTTTTTTATCGTAATTTTTTAAAAATGGTTGTCCCAGTTAAAGGAACGACTGTTTTACTCATTTATTTAGAAAAGTATTTTCGCCAATTTTTGAATTTTTTATTAGAAGTTACATTACGATTAAAAAAAAAAACTGTCAAAATCTAAAGTTCTAAGATTTGAATGCCAATAGATTGGGAATTTAATAACGAGCTCAATAAGGAATGACCATATTTAGACCAACTTAATTTTCCAAAACAAATTCAAATCGAGACACTTGTTGCTAAGAGCGCCAAAACAAAAGGGTTAAAGGTTGCCAGACCTGACTTACGCAACTAGCGGTATTTTGTGAAAAGGCGGGTACAAGTTTTGAATTTAAAATATTTAAACATAATATTATTTAATATTATTATTCACTATTTAATTTTTGTTCACCTTTTCTTTCAGATTCCGGTGGCGTTTTATTTAATTTTCCTTCCATTTCGTGGCCTGGCGAAGCGTGAGCAACGCCAGCAATCCAACACTTAAGATTCGGGGCCAACAGCAGCAATTCCATCCAGGGCATCCGCAGGTCGAGATGCCGACGATCCGGCGGTGCTGCATCATCGGTTGCCTGTCCAATTCGCGCCAGCACCCGAGCATGCAGTTCTTCGCCTTCCCGCGCCCGGAGAATCCCTTCCACAAGCTGTGGAAGGAGGCGTGCCACGCCTCTCTGCGTCGGATTGTGCCCTTCAAGAAGCCGGTGGTGTGTGCGTTGCACTTTGACCCGAGTGTTTTGGGCGGCAGGCGACTGCAGTCGAATGCCCTGCCCACGCTGCGCCTGGAAGTGCCCTCCAATCTGGAGGCAGTGGAGCAGCAGGCGATGGTGGAGGAGATCGAGCGGAGCAGGAAGTGTGCTTATATCAATGCGGTGGTTTATGAGTGGCTGGTGCGGGCGAACATCAATCCCCAGCTGAGGGGGAGCATCACCCACGGGATGATTAAGGACAAGGCGGAGAATGCGAGGCAGGTGATTGGAAGCACCTCGTTTATAGCCGATAATCGCTGGCTGAATCGCTTTAGGGAGACGCATTTACAAGGCTTCGCTCAGAAGCTGGCTGGGAATCAGTTGAAGCCACTGGGTTCCTCTTTGTGGATACCCGACATTGTCCAGGATCTCGCTCATCTATTTCCTCCAGCCAGTGCGGAACGGGTGGCCAAGCTGGAGGAGATGCCGGAGCAGTACATGTCGTATATGCAGCAATACGGGGAATACGAGGAGGATGACGACAGCATGGATGTCAAGGAGCAGCAGCAGCAGCAGAGCTACCAGGAGCAACAGCAACACTTTGCCCTGCAGCAGCAACATTTGCAACAGCAGCAGCAGATGGGTCACCCTTGGCCACCATTTCCCGGGCATCCAGGTCATCCTCCGCCTCCCTTTGCCAGCTTCAATGACTTCTACTTCGAGCGACATCAGCAGCAAATGCAACAGCAACTCCAGCAGCAGCAGCAACAGCAGATGCAACAGCAATTTCCGCCCCAAAGAGAACCCTTTCAGCCGCAACTGCCCCCCAATGTTCCTCCCCAGCGGGCCAGTCCCTTCCAGCCCGTTCAGCTGGCCAAGAGACCCAAAATGGAGTCACCAGACGACGATGAAGTGCAGGAGATCAACGCGTCGGTGACCTCGCCACCGAATCCCATGGCTGAGACCTCTTTGACCAGCAAGGGCAGTCGGAGTTGCAGTCCCAAGGAGCAGAATAACAACAATACTGGGGGCAGGGACAGTGCCAGCAGCAAGGAGAATGCCCCAAAGGGAGGTGGACCGAGTGGCAAATCCACTCCAGCTCTTTCTCTTAAGGGAAAGGATTCACCAGCTCCTCCTGCAACCAAATCCACCTCTGCTCCCGCCTCGCCCAAGAAGATCTCGAATGGATCCTCCACCTCCAATGGCCACACATCCCCGGAACCCGAGGATAAGAAGGCAATGGCCATGCTCAAGGAACTGGATAGCTATCACCAGGCACTGGAGTACCTAAAACCGCTGGAGGACTTTGTGCTCTTCAAGGAGAACTTCCGGGCCATCGGTCTGCTCTCCCAGTTGGAATTGGTGCTGCGCAAGGGGGACAAGGCCACCCTGGTCGAGGGTTAATCTTAAACTCTCGAGGACAAACACAAAACACAAATGTGATGAACAGTGTACATATGTATCAAGTAGTATTATCAATACCACCAAACGAGGTTAGGTTTACCCAGAATCTCCACTCGCATAAAGCTGAACATAACTCATTAATTTATGAATTACCATAAGAACATTAAAATGGAATTTTAAGAACCTTAAAAGAGTTTTTTGGTCTATGTGGATGGGATTTACTTTTCAAAGTGTGGAAATAGACAGCTGTTTTGAAGGGAGGTATAAAAGCTCTTAGCTATAATTATAATAGTAAATATTTTGAAAGTTTAGATAGCTTTAAAATATATAAATTTAAAGGGCTTTATTTTAGTCCTTAAAATCCACCGTTATTTATCGATTAGTCTGGCAGCACTGTTGCCTTTAAATCAGTGTGACCAATTACCAGAAATCCCATTAATAAAGTGTGACCGTGTCTCGGGATAGGCCATAATCCTCATTAGCCCACCACCCTCACCAATGTTTACATTTTACAGCCTGAAAAATCGGTAAATTAAGCAATTTATTGCTAAACAAGTGCAATAAACCACTAGACAAGGCCCAAAACCGCACAAATGTCGCTGCTCGAGCAATACGAACAGCAGTACGCCGCCCTCATAGCCGAAATAACGGCGCATATTGGACGTCTGCAGCAGCAAAACAACAACAGTGAGTGGGTGGATTTTTCAGGAATCCTAAATAATATAGTTTTCAAACCAGGTGAACGGCATGATCTGTGCGCCAAGATCGATGGCAGTCTGCCGGAGGCCCAGGAACTCCTGGAGCAGATGGGTCTGGAGGTCAGGGAACTCAGTCCCCTCCAGCGCAGCAGCTTCAACGGCAAACTACAGGTGGCCCAGGCGGAATTGAAGCGCCTGCAGGCGGAGTACCGCCTGACCAAGGATAAGCAGCGCTCCCAGGCAGCCTTCACCACCCTGGACTTGGGCGACAGCTACGAGGATGTGTCCATCAGCACGGATCAGCGGCAGCGCCTGCTGGACAACTCGGAGCGGATCGAGCGAACGGGCAATCGGCTGACCGAGGGCTACCGCGTGGCCGTGGAAACGGAGCAGCTGGGCGCCCAGGTGCTGAATGACCTCCATCACCAGAGGGAAACGTTGCAGGGAGCGAGGGCAAGGCTAAGGGAGACCAATGCCGAGCTGGGAAGAGCTTCCCGTACTCTGAACACCATGATGTTGAGAGCCCTGCGCGAAAAGGTGGTCTTGTATGGCGTAGGAGTCTGCTTTGTGGTCGCCGTGGGCGTCAGTCTGTATTTAACTTTCGCACCCAGCTCCGCGAGCTCCGTCACCTCGTAGTTTTAGCCAAGAAAAACCAAAAAGAAATCCCCTGAAATCTAGCCGAAGCCTAGCCATTCCAAATTCGTGAGTTGATTATTTATTGTTTAGCATATTTTATCTTTACGAGATATATTCTGTGGAAGAAAGCACTAATCTATATACGATAGGATGGGGGTATTACCATAAGTCGTAGGAGAGAACCTTTCATTCGTATTACCCTTTAATTTAATGCTTTTTCTACGACTTTTATCTATTCCCATCCCAATTTACGTGTACAAAGTCTAAGTGGTTAATGTTTGGCGCCTGGTTAATAGTAACTTATCCTACTCTATGACTCGTGTTCGCATTCGGGACGTATTCTTCGCATTAATTCGAAACGAAAGTGTATCTAAAATTATAAACATAGCCGAGAACTGTTAATAAATAAAATAAAAACAGTAAAAATGCATCTCTGCATGGGCGGTCATTGAGTCTGGCGAGGATCGGAGGTGCCTAGCCGAACTCAATGTTCCCCAACTGCTAGCAGCCGCAGGAGGAGGCGTCCTCCTCGTTGATGGCCCCGCTGCCGCCGCCGCCGCCGGCGGTGTCCACCTGGAAGCTCTTGTGCTCCAGGGCCTGCAGCTCCATCTTGGAGCGATTGGCCTGGACCAGCTGCCTGGAGATGTCCCGGAACATTTCCTCCACGCCGGCGCCACTGCGACAGGACGTCTTGTAGGTGGCACTGATCAGCGAGTGGCACTGCTCGCAGAAGGCCTCCACCTCCTCGTCGCTCACCTCCGGCTCCCTGCCCTCCAGATCGCTCTTGTTGCCGCAGATGAAGATCTTGGCGTTCTCCGCATAGGTCACAATGTCGAGTAGGTGCTGTGACAGTGAGTGGAACGAGGCGGCGTTGTCCAGGGCGAAGACCAAAATGGCTCCCTCGGCGAATTTGTAGTAAGACGAGGTCACCGAGGCCACGCGCTCCATGCCGCCAGTGTCCCAGAGTTGGAGCTGTTTAAAGGGGAGCGGATATATTAGAGGGGTACAATGTCTATTTCTATAGAAGGTAATTTTCCATTAGAGCCCTGCGTGCTTTTATGCATAACTTTCTTTGTTTCGAAAGGAAAAAGGAAGAAGGTATAGAACATTTTGTTTTGTATGCTCTTCTAAGTGGGTCCTAAAGAATTCACGGTTGGAGTTTTGTATATTTAAAGATGTTATCTTAAGTTTAAAGGCGATATCGCCATTCTATAATAAGAAAATAAGAAAAGTGTCTTACTGGATCTTAAAGAATTCACGATTGGAGTTTTTGATATTTAAAGATGTTATCATGATTTTTAAAGGGGATTTTGCGGGTAAATACTTTATTATAAGATCTAAGATGTCAAAAGATGTAATATTACCATATTGATCTAGAGAATTCAATGATAATAAAGCATAGATATCAGTAAATACTATCATACTATCATAAGATCTAAGATGTCAAAAGGTATAATATTACCATCTTGATCCTGAGAAATCAATGATAATATTATCAGGGTTATCAGTTTAACCACGCAGGGCTCTATTATTATCAGGAAATAGCTTTATGATATTATAACATCTAAATACTATATTATAACATCTAAGATGTCAAAAGATATATTATTACTATTTAGATCTTAAGAATTCCAAAGATGTTATCATGGTTACCAGTAATGGCACTCAGGGCTCTATTATTATCAGGAAATAGCTTTATATTATCACCGGAAAGCCCACCTTGATCTGCTTCTCATTAACGCTGTATTCCCTATCGATGTGGTCCAATCCCAGCGTGGATTTCCTATCCGTATCCGTGACGAAGGTGTTGGTGGCGAATCGCCGGAACAGGGAGCTCTTGCCCACGCCGTAGTCGCCGCACAGGATCACCTTCTGCTTGGGTATGCGCATCGTGGCCATGGCTGTGATTTCACTCGATTTGTCCTAAACTAATCCAATTACTTTATTATTTTGCACCTGCAGACACAAAGAGAACAACAACAACAATGCGACAACAGCTGTTCCTGCAAAAACAATCCCAGCGCAGCGTTGCCAGACCTCCTAAAGTTATCGCTGGCCGATAGTTGGACTTAGGTTATCGAATTTAAATTGCCTTATCAGTTTTGATCTTGTGTATGATAAAAAAAAATATTTATTTCGTTTAGAGAAATACAATATCTTAATATGATGATAACTAGCATATGCTGTATTGCACCTATAGTTAGTAATATATTTAGTATATTATAAAATACAAATTGATTAAAGAAAAAACATAGATGTGCAGGTGGACCTGCAACTCCTTAATACATATTTGTTAAGATCTAATCCATAAAATCAATGACAGAATCCGTTCCTTGGGAGTAGCTTTCATTTCTGAAAAAGCTATTATCAGATGTCTACTGCTACTGATAATGGTTTACCCTTTAAATACGGCCACGCGCTACATTATCACTCCCAGTTGAAGATGTCGATTCGGCTGGTGACGATATTCCTGGCCTTCTTCGCCGCCTTGGCGCAAGGTAAGAATCGTAAATCAATGCTATCTTTAGGAATACGATTAAATAATATTATAATTCCCAGGCAAACCCGGCTATGGACCCGGTGACCAGGACTGGGGCTACGTGGACGTGCGTCCGGGTGCCCACATGTTCTACTGGCTCTACTACACCACCGCCAATGTTTCCAGCTACACGGAGCGTCCGCTGGTCATTTGGCTCCAGGGAGGACCGGGTGCCTCCTCCACGGGCTACGGGAACTTCGAGGAACTCGGACCCGTCGATCTGTACGGCGACTGGCGCAGCTGGACGTGGGCGAAGGACATGAATGTCCTGTTCATCGACAATCCCGTGGGCAGTGGCTTCAGCTATGTGGACAATACGGCCCACTTCACGGCCACCAACAAGGAGATTGCCCTGGATTTGGTGGAGCTGATGAAGGGCTTCTACGAGAATCACCCGGAATTCCAGGAGGTTCCGCTGCACATCTTCTGCGAGAGTTACGGCGGCAAGATGGCCCCGGAGTTCGCCCTGGAGCTGTGGAAGGCCAAGGAGCGGGGCGAGGTGAAGAGCAACCTCACCTCGGTGGCCCTGGGTGACCCCTGGACCTCGCCCATCGATTCTGTGCTCGCCTGGGGACCCTTCCTCCGGGAGGCGGGCATTGTGGACCACGCGGGATACGCGGCCATCCAGGAGGCGGCCAACTTCACGGCCCAGCTGGTGGAGGAGGAGCGCTGGATCCAGGCCACCTACCAGTGGGGCAACACCCAGTGGGAGGTGATGAAGGCCTCCAAGGGCGTGGACTTCTACAACATCCTCAAGGAGACGAAGGGCGGTCTCTACCAGCGGCAGATGGCGATGAGCAACGAGGAGCGACTCTATCGCACGATGGTGAAGTTCGATATCGACGAGGATCGCACTAAAATGCTGGAGGATCTGATGAGGGGTCCTGTGGCGGAGACCCTGGGCATTCCCTCGAATGTCGTCTGGGGATCCCAGAGCGGCACCACCTTTGATATCCACAGAACCGACTTCATGAAGCCTGTGATCCACATAGGTAGGATACTATACCTCATCTGTATTAGGAGATTACCTAATCTAATACATTTCAGTGAACGAACTGCTGGAGAAGACTCCTCTGAAGGTGGGCGTGTTCTCCGGCGGCCTGGACCTCATCTGCGCCACTCCCGGCACCGTCAACTGGATAGCCAAGCTGGACTGGAGCGGCAAAGACGAGTATCTGGCTGCTCCGCGCAATGCCATCACCGTGGATCGCATTCTGGAGGGCTACCAGAAGTCGGGCGGCAACTTCACCATGTTCTGGATCAACCGAAGTGGTCACATGGCTCCTGCGGATAATTCAGCCGCCATGAGTCATGTCCTCAGGGAGTTTACCTCCTTTGGGTAGATTTTTTGAAAGAAATACAATTACATTACATTGTATATTTTATTGGCTTAAAAATAAAAGAGTATTTTAATTAATTTACCTGGAAAATATTTAAAGAACTTGGTTTATCTGGTTTTCCATTGCACAACGCCTCTAGCCGTTTTGGTTCTATAATTAGGAAGTTAATTTGAATAAAGCACTTATTGGTTGTTAAATTAGTAATAGATAGAACACCAGTTTAAATTTACATACTATATAATATAGTATAGTACTCGAGACTACTTTGTCTAGACATTGCATAACGCGATTCATTGATCAAAAATAAATTTCTATACTTACACCCATTATATAACTGAACATCAAGAGCTTTCAAGAGATATTTAAGTTATCATTCACAGATGTCACATGGGATAGACCGCAACTGAAAGCGAGTGAAAAAGAGAAAATCCCTGGGAAAACCCCTCAAGATAGCAAAGTGCAATCTATGCCACATTTTTGGGTGACTTAGGGGCTCTACCCAAAAATATATGACATGGAGATTTGCCAAAACGGACAAGTGTCAAAACAGAGATTTTCCAAAAGTCAATCGTCATCGTCCGGCGAAGGGCCATAAATACTCTGCAAACACACAACAACTCCCCCGCCCGAAGATTACGAATTCCAGGTGTGTCACTCATGTCAGGTGCTCTTTCCATTCTATTTTACCTTCGACGTCTGGGAGCAACCTGCGATCATTCGGCGGTGGAACTGCCAAGTGTTCGGTTGGTTCTGTAAGTTGTCTGGGAATCGGAATCAAAATTGGTGCACCATGACTGGACGGGTTATCATCGCTCTTTCGCTAGCTCTGCTGGGTATTGCCGCCTTGGGTTCCGTCGACGGTGAGTAGCCCGTTTTATATTCCGATCAGGGGTGCTAATCGGCGAGAAAGTGTTCCAAGACAAACGGTTTCTTGTATTTACGACTTGTAGAGCAGGTCAGCAAAAAAACCGCAAAATAACTATCAGTTATTTTTAAGTAGTGTTCCCAATTCGGAACTGTAAGTTTAAAAACTAGAATTAGAGAATTATCTAGGTGATTTATTGACAAATTGAGACTTTATTGAGATGTCTAGCAATATAATCAACTATCTTCAATATCTATAACAATTAATCTTATCTAAGTGGCTACTCATGCAGCCATTTAATATACTTAAAGGCTAGATTACACTCAAGTGTTCCCAAGAAATCAGGGCTTATCATCGAAGTTCGTTTATGCGTGGGTATTTACAAAGTTTAAAGACCATTTGTCTAATAATAATTACCAGGAAATTATATTTCAGAGTTTCTAAAGGTGTGTTGAAGATTGTAAATGATTAATATTAAAATTCATATAAGTTTATAATTGGTATTAGTACACACCTACAAAAAAAAAGAATGTTCCCGTAAAATCGTTATGGCCATGTAAATTTCAGGTCATGCAAAACCCATATCGTTTTTACATGAAATACTCTTTTCGACCAGGTCAAATTTACCTGGCCACATATCACATTAAAATTGATCTTAAATAATGTAAGACCAATCTACGTTTCTTATTTTTGTTGGGTGTATAAGTACTGTGAATTGGGCAGATGAAAGGTGGGAAGACTGAATTTGAACTTACTGAATTTTTTTTAAAGAACAAAATATTTCAATTTTTCTATTTAATCCCATATTCAGCTCGAAAGGGCTATGGATCCGGGGAGCAGGATTGGGGCTTTGTGGATGTCAGGACGGGCGCCCACATGTTCTACTGGCTCTACTACACCACCGCCAATGTATCGAGCTACACGGATCGTCCTTTGGCCATTTGGCTGCAGGGAGGACCAGGTGCCTCCTCCACGGCCTATGGCAACTTCGAGGAGCTGGGTCCCCTGAAGCTGGACGGCAGCTACCGGGAGTGGACGTGGGTGAAGGAGATGAACGTGATGTTCATCGACAACCCCGTGGGCAGTGGCTTCAGCTACGTGGACGGAACCTCCTCCTACGCGACCACCAACAAGCAGATTGCCCTGGATCTGGTGGAGCTGATGAAGGGATTCTACGCGAATCACCCGGAGTTCAAGACCGTTCCGCTGCACATCTTCTGCGAGAGTTACGGCGGCAAGATGGCCCCGGAGTTCGCCCTGGAGCTGGAGTACGCCATCCAGCGGGGAGAGATCGAGAGCAACTTCGTTTCGGTTGCTCTGGGGGATCCGTGGACCTCGCCCATCGACTCGGTGCTCTCGTGGGCTCCCTTCCTGCTGCAGCTGGGAATCGTGGACCAGGATGGTCACGACAAGATCGAAGCCGCGGCGCTGAAGACCAAGGACTACGTGGACCGGGAGAAGTGGACGCAGGCTACGCTGCAGTGGAGCTCCACCCAGTCGGTGGTGCTGCGCGAGTCCAAGGGAGTGGATTTTTATAATGTGGAGACCCCCACCCTGGGTGATCAGTACAAGGTGATGGCCCGCGCTGCCATGACTCCAGAGGGTAGGTGTCTGTAGGTTAACTTACTAGATGTTATCCTAACTAGCTGTTCCAACAGAGCTCATGTACCGCACACTGGTGAAGTTCGACGTCGACGAGGATCGCGACCAGCTGCTGGAGGATCTGATGCTCGGACCCGTCACCGAGGCCCTGGGAATCAACACTGGTGTCAAGTGGGGCGCCCAGAGTGGCACCACCTTCACCAGGCTGATGGGCGACTTCATGAAGCCCGCCGTGGAAATTGGTAAGTGGGATTGGTGCTTGTTTGCTACCTCGATCATATTTAATGGTCTGGTTGTTCGTTTTTCTTAAAAAAAATCAATTACTAGAGTTTAAAATGGAGTTCTAGATTTAAAAATAAAGTTAAAGACTTGAAGAAGCAGTTGTAGATTTGGATTTGGAGTTGTAGATTTGATAATGGAGTATACAAAAATTAGAAAAACGAAATTTTCGTCTTTTTTTCGTCGTAATTCTGTTAATGGGTCCCCCATCTAATGGAACGAAAGTTTTACCCAGCTAATAATCCAAACTATCACTTACGGGTAGATTAAAATACAAAAATATTTCTTCACATTTTTGTCTTAATTATTAAAAATATATTTTAATCAATTACATAAAATTACAGTTTTTTTAAATATCTAACTTTTCGTATAATTTTAGTGGGTGAGCTGCTGAACAACACCACCGTAAAAGTGGGCGTCTTCTCCGGAGGCCTTGACCTGATCTGCGCCACTCCGGGAGCCGTCAATTGGATAGAAAACATGGAGTGGGAGGACAAGGCTAAGTACCAGGCTGCTTCCCGCGTGGGAATCACCGTGGATCGTGTTTTGGAGGGCTACGAAAAGACCTATGGTAACTTCAGCATGTTCTGGGTGAACCGAGCTGGTCATATGGTCCCTGCTGATAATCCCGCTGCAATGTCGCACATCCTGCGACACTTTACCCAGTTTGGTTAATATGTTAGTGATGGTGTAATAATAAAACAAAGATTATTTTCGAAATGTATCTTTCTCTTGTTATTTTCGGTATATTGACTAAAGTTGATTGTATTTACGATGCGCAAATCCACGGGGGATCCCCCACTCGGTTGAAAAGTGGAAGGAATTTCGGTATTCAATAAGTATGCAACAAAAATAGGGTTTGATATCCACCCCCCACAACAAAATCCTGGATCCACCAGTGGTATTTATTTATTTTCCGAACAAAACTTGAAAAATTTCGAATTCAGCACAGTGCTATTTTTGTGACCCCCCGAAAATTCGAAACCGATCGCCTGCGGCGTTGCCACCTGACCAAAGTAACTGTAAAGTTGTCGCATGCGCAGTTGCACCCTCTCAGCTGTTCTGCTCACACGCACACACACGGTCGCCGTGCCGTTCGCTCTCTTTCTGGCTGACGTTGCGCATGCTACTGAGAGAGGGAGCGGGAGAGCGAGAGGCGGCGGAAAAAACAACGCGAGATAAAGCTATTTTTGTATGGGTCGTCGGCTTGTTCACACGGACATCGGAAAATACGCGGAGCGCAGCGCACGGCCAGTTGGAAAATCACTATCAGCGGGCGAATAAAACACCCACAAAGCGAACACGAAGGCGAATTAAGTCAAAGCACACGGAAAGGCCAAGGAAAAGCCAGAAAAGCAATGACGAAATGATTTGCATTCGCTTGCCAAGCAGTCAACGCGCATAATCGTAGCCATCGCACGCACACAGGCGAACGAACACACACACGCACGCGGCGGGCGGGAATGAGAGAGACAGAGAGCAAGGGTGAAAGGGGCGGGCGAAATTGAGTGGGCGCAGCAGCAGCAACAACAACAAGAACAACGAGAACAAGACGAAAACAAACAGCAATTGCCGTGTAAATTGCAGGGAAAACACAAACAATGCGGATACGCGAGAAGCGCAAGTTGCAAAGGGAGGCGAGGGAGCAGAAGAGGGGGGAGCGGGAGAGCAAGGAGTACAAGGAGTCCCCCAAGTCGCAGGATAACAACAACAAGGAGAAGGTAAGTGGCCACAGTGAGGCCTCCTTAAGAGTTTCTAGGGTGTAAAAGTCATGATCTTGTAACTAGGGATTCGGATTTATAAATAAGATTTTTAAAACTGTTCCCATTTCGAAAAAGATTATAGGGAATAAACAATAGTTTGTTTATATTTTGTAAAATTAAAAATATATCCTGAATACTCCATACTTTCAGTTTTGTGGTACTAAAATACCTCTTATATTTAAAAACACCAAATATTGCTGTTTTTGAAACTCTCCTATCTTACAGTTTCTTATAACTATAAAAGTTCTTAAAAAGCTTTATTATTAATTTTCTTAAAATTCCTAGTTATTAATGTTCTTGAAATTCCTAGTTATTAATGTTCTTAAGAGTCTTTATTCTTAATGTTCTTAAAAATCTTGATTATTAATGTTCTGAAAAATCTTTATTATTAATCTTCTTAAAAATCTATATTATAAATGTTCTTAAAAATCTTTATTTTAAATGTTCTTAAAAATCTTCATAATTAATGTTCTTAAAAATCTTCATTATTACGTTCATAAAAGACTTTATTATTTATAATTCCATTTCTAAAACATAAACTTTAAATTAAGCACATAATTTATACAGAAAAGAATATAATATAACCGCTTAACTTAGAGTTCATTAAACAAATATGTTAATTTTCAAAGGGACCACTGTATACTACTTCCATTTGGTGCCCACATCCATAGTATTTTTGCCCTGCCTAATTTCCCCTGTACTCTCTCTTCCTTCGTCCTTAGGCCACCGACACGGAGGCACTCACACCAGCTCATGCGCCTGCGCCTGCTCCACCAGCTGCTCCACCACCACCACCAGCAGCACCACCCACTTCGAGCACTCCGCCCAGCCTGCCGGCGGCCGAGAAGGTGGCCTTCGACAACCGCATCAAGCGCAAGAACGTCCTGGCGCTTAACGAGAAGGTGGCTGCTTTGAGGGAATACGATCGCCTGCCGGTCTACAAGCACGTGGGCCGCCTGTTCAACTGCAGTCCGGACCAGATCAAGCGGATCGTGCAGCAGCGCCAGGAGATCCTCAACGCCTGGGACCAGCGAACGCGGCGCAGTCAGGATGCCAAGACCATGGAGACCAAGACCGTGAGGGTTTCCATGCTGGGCAAGGCGGTGTACGACTGGATGCGCCGCATGATGTACTACAAGGACTTTAGCATCTCCGACGGGCTGATTCAGAAGATGGCGCTGCAGTTCAAGAGCTCCATGGGCCTGGCCCACTTCTTTCCGCACCAGGAGTGGTGCGACAAGTTCCGGCGCACCTACAGCATCCAGCACAGCGACACGCGGCTGCTGAAGATCGGCTACACGCAGGGCTACTCGGTGCAGATCAAGGACATCGTCAAGGACGTCATGTCGGAGTGCATGCCGGAGAGCGGGCCGCGCAACGAGCCGGCGGAGGAGGAGGAGGACGACGAGGAGGAGGTCAGCCTGGGCAGCCCGATGAGCAGCAATCCGCGAAGCTGCAACGACGAGGATGAGGATGACGAGGTGGACGTGGATGGCGGCGATATCAGCGGGCGTGAGGATGAACTGGAGCCCGATGTGAAGCCCTCGTTGAGTGAACTTAACTTGGCCCGGGCCTTGCAGCCTCTGCCGCCTCTCGTTCGACTTCCTCTGCAGACCAACACCCCGCCGGGCACCTCCCAAAAGGTGCTCCTGGCCACGCCCATTGTGCCGCCGCAAGCGGGTGGTCAGCCCATGACCATGACCATCATACCACTGGCCACCTTGGCCCAGAGCATCACGCAGATTCCGTCCCCGCAGCAGGATAAGGGTCCTGTGGTGCCGCCGCCCAAACTGGAGATCAAGCAGGAGAAGGACATCAAAACGGAGCCGAAAGACCCAGAAGAACTTGAGGAGGGACAGACGGAGGAAAGCCTAGCCAAGCCAGTGCAAATCAAGCTGGAGCCAGAGCCTGAACCCGAGTTGGATGCGGAAATGGAGGAGGAGGAACCGGCGGACCTCGACGAGGATGCCAACAATGGTCGCTCTAGTGTCACCTCGCTGGCCGAGGTCCTGGCCGCCAATGTGGAGGACGAGATGGAGTACATCGAGCGGATGCGGCAGCGCAAGATTAGTTCGCCGGCGGCCATCGAGAAGCCGCTGAATCCCCGCCAGGGCACCAAGCGTCGCCACGAATCCGCCCAGGACGACAACAACAATGGAGAAAACGGCCAGGGAAGCGGATCGAGTGTCATTAGCTGCGCCGATGCCCGCAAGTACCTAAAGCTCCTCGAGGAGTTTGCTCTGTACAAGGAGAACTACCGGCTGATTGGCTTGATCACGCGGGCCGATGAGGTGATGCGCGAAATGGACGACCATGTGGCGTAGGATGCTCCACACTTGGAGAAGGAAGAGGAGAGACAGCTGCAGCCAAAGAGCATTAGCGATGCAAACTGATGCATCTAGAAGATGCAGATCGGTCGGATGCAATCAATCATTAGACCTAAGGTAACCCTAATTTGTACTCGAACCCAATAAACGCAATCAAACTAATGTCAGCCTGTAAACGTCTGTTATAATTATATTATAATGAATTTAAATATTTTCTTAATGCTGAAATACAGTTCTTTATTTGGTCCACGTACAGTATAAATTGGTCTGTGCAGACGTGAATAAGTAAAGAGTAAATTTCGTTCTGATTTTAATAGGCGTGTTTCAAGTTTTATACCCGAATAAAAGGTATGAACCCCAAACAGAATCAATGTTTTTCCCAACCCAACATCTCAATGAAGTTTAATTTGCAGTTATAAGAAACTTTATTATATTATCATGTATAATAACATTTTTCCTAAGATGTACACTGATTGAAACCGCTTAAGAACACCTCTCGTTTGAAATCTACCCGAGCACTGGGAACACTTGAACGGTCGTTCTCCTTTATGAACTAGCAAATGTAACTTAAGACTCGAGCGTTCCTTTAAAGTGGTTGAACATTCGGGACATTTTAATGCTTTAAACGCAAATGCTTCCGAAGACACATTTTGTTCTTGAACGTTGTTGAACATTGGGAACACTTGATTCGTTCTGAGTGCGTTTTCAAGTGTTTCTTCAGGCTATAATAATCCTTAAAAGACTGTGAGCAGTGAGAGCACTTCTTTTCTGTGTGCGACACCAAGTGTTTCGTAAGGTGATCCTTCCGGTAGAAAGCTTTCGAGCACTGAGAACACTTGAATGGCTGTTCTCCTTTGTGCATTCTCAAGTGCTGCCTGAGATTTGGCTTGGTTTTAAAGGCCGATGAGCATTGGGAACACTTGAAAGGTCGATCTGCAGTATGCACAGAATGGTGTAGTTCCAGACAAGCTTTAGTTTGAAAGGACTTTGAGCAGTGGGTACACTTAAATGGTCGTTCCCCTGTGTGGACCCGCAGGTGTTGCCAAAGGGTTGCATTCTGTTTGAATGATTTCGCGCAGTGGGAACACTTGAAAGGCCGGTCTCCTGTGTGCGTTCGCAAGTGAATCGTAAGACTTGTTTTTATGGAAAATTCTTTCGAACAATGGGAGCATTTAAAGGGTTTTTCTTCTGCGTGACTTAGCAAGTGACGCTTGAGATAGGAACTAGTGGTGTACGCTGCTGGGCATTGGGAACACTTAAACGGCTTTTCTCCTGTGTGTAGGCGCGTGTGCAACAGAAGGGCTCCTTTGTTGGTAAAATCTTTAGAGCAGTGGGAACACTTGAATGGTCGTTCCCCCGTGTGCCATCTCATGTGAATCGTTAAAAGTGTTCTATTGGTATAAGTTTTTGGGCAGAGGGAGCACTTGATAGGCTTCCGATATGGTTTTTCTCCCGAATGAATTGTCAGATGAGTTTTTAGACCTGATTTTTGGGCGAAAGCCTTCGAGCACTGAGAACACTTGAAAGGTCTCTCTCCTGTGAGGAGTTGCAAGTGACGCTTAAGATTAGAAAGCTCGGAAAACGCCTTTGTGCAGTGGGAACACTTAAAAGGTTTTTCTCCTGTGTGAGTTCGTAAGTGTTCGTGTAGTTTGGATTTCTTGGGGAACACTTTTTGGCAATGAGAACACTTGAAGGGTCTTTCTCCTGTGTGGGAACGCAAGTGCAGCCTAAGATGGCCTTTCTTGAAGAACGTTCTTGGGCAATGGGGACACTTAAGGTCACTACCATCGACGCTTTTGGCGTTACTGTCTTCGATGCCAGGCTCAAAGTCCGAATCATCATCTTTCTCGAAGTCTGGATCGTAGTCATCATCTGCCTCAAAATCCTCTTCGGTGCTATCTAAATCATCTTGGGAATTGGTCTTGTCCATTTGACAGTTTCTTTTTTGACGACTTTGTGTTCTCTCCTGCTCTTCTTCAATTAATCCTTCCTCAGAACTACTGGAACCCCCATTCTCCAGTTGCTCCTTCTGAAAATCGGTAAAGTAGCAAAAGAAATGGTGGCTCCTCTCGTACGTTTCAATAATATCGAATGCATCCTTTGCATCCTGAAGGCAGGACGGGCAAATAGTTGTGGGCAGCAGGTCGTCTTCTTCCACTTTACAGCCGGTGCACTGATAAATTATATTTGCAATAGATATGCCCGATTCATGTTTTTCCTCAAAAATATTGACCATATTTTCGTAATTTACGAGACAAGCACGACATATAGACGACTCCATCGATCTAAAATTGCAAAATCATTAGTGAAATCAGTGCGTTAAATGCTATTTATTTTCTTACGGTCGTTGAAGTAAAAAGACAGTACAATAAAATAACCTGAGGTGCAGGTACAATTTAAAATTTATCTGAAAAATACCAAAAATATAATAATATAAATAGAATAGAAGTCTTTAGTGCAAACAAAAATTATTCTCTTAAATCAAGCCTTATTAGCCCTGGTATTTTTACATAGAATCCTATTATGTTGACCTGTGCTGTGCGTTCTTATAGATAAATTCACTTATTCACGGCCGGAATAAAAAGTCGGCTAAATATACGTATACGCGCTGTTTTTGTTTTTGATCAAGTGCGCATGTCTGCCCTTAGTTCAGCTTCTTCTTCTTGTTTCGCCGGGCGGGAGGTCACCCACTAACACCCACCCACCCAGGCACACACACATGGGTGGCAAAGAGAGCAAGAGAGTGAGTTGCCCACAAAAATAACGGAACAAAGAGGTCAATCATTAAATTCAATCTCATTTGATTGCGGTAATTTCCCCAGCATTGCGAGTATTTTTGGAACTTATTTCTTAATAAGTTGGAAATGTCAGAAATCGAGTTATAAATACTTTTAGATTGAGCTGAGCAAAGGCCGACAATCTTGATTGTCTGATTGTGAAAATGGGTAAATGCGCATGTCTGCCCTTAGTTTAAATCAGAATATTTGTTATTGTTATTCGCTCTCAGCGCTCTCTCTCTCTCCCTCTCTCGCACACACGTGCATCCGAATTGCGGGGGAGTTGAGCTCTTTGTTTATAAATACGCCGTTACAGGGTGCAAAATAAAGTAAAATATTAAAATAAATATGTGTAATAGATAAATTATAAAACAAAAATACATAGCTACCCTTCACATTGCCAGAAATGCCTGGGCATTAAGTGATTTATTGCGCATTTCCACACTCACACAAGTAAAGTCGGTCGTCAGCAGACTAATCAATCACTCAATCGAGACACACAGACGCACACACCCGCTCATTTCGGCGGTACATCAAGTCAGTTCGTGATTGTCGCTTGCGGAGAACAAACCGCCTTTATAACGCCGGTCGACGCGCCAGGTGGTGGAAATACATACATATATATCCAGATCTAAAGAAACAACAACAAACAGTGGGACTATGTGAGGCGTTTTCCAGCACTTACACGGAATTGATCTGGCAACCCTAGGAATTTGTAAACATCAACAGCTGATTGGAAGAGAACAACAAAAAAGGTAAATAAAGGTAAATTTGTTTTGTTTACCTGTACATTATTATCTAAATAAAAACTAAAACTAATAAAATATTTAATAACTTTTATTTTAGATGGCAACTGCCCTGCCAGATCGCTTTAGTGCGGGCAAAAGACAGTTCTGGCGAGAGTTCCTGGCTCTCTATCAGGGAATGCCGGAGCTGTGGGATGTCCACCATGTCAACTATCGGAACAAGGAGCTACGGAACCGGGCCTACGAGCTGCTGGAGCGGAAACTCCGGGAGATCCAGCCGAATGCCACGCGCACCGAAGTGGGCCGAAGGATCAACATATTTCGCACCAATTACCGGCGCGAACAGATGCGAATCCTCAAGCAGAAGGAGCTGGGACTGCACTCGGACCTCTGCAAGCCCACTCTGTGGTTCTACGACTACATGGGCTTCCTGCTCACCCAGGAGACCTTCCAGCACAGGACCCGAAAGGGTCGAGGGGGCCGGCAAAAGTCGGTATTTGGGCAGGAAAAGGGGGTAAGATCAGGGAATTTATTTATTATCTATTACTAATATATAATTCCCCAGGATAAATACAACTCGAAAAGCACAGATCTCAACACGGACAGCGTTTGTGACTGGCCTATGAAGGAGGATGATACACCAGAACCAAGTGTTCCAGAAGAGGCTTCCCTGCTCAGTCCAAAAGTGGAGATTATAGAGCCAGAGGAAGCAGAAAACCCAATCCAAAATGGAATCTTGCCCACAGAAGTCAAGGAGGAAGGTTTAGACACCAGAGAACCCGCCTGCTCACCCCAACCAGAGGCAGAAACCGAACGAGGAGCTGCCGGAACCATTCTCAGCGAATCCTCCGAAGTGCTGGCTAGATCTTGGGCCATTCAGTACGAGGAAATGGCGCCCACGCAACGCATCCTAGCCCGAAAGGCCATCGCGGACATCCTGTTCGAAGGATGCATGGGTAACCTGCGAATAAACCGCGGCGATCAGGGAAGCACCGTGGGAAATCATCTCTAATATTTAGTTCCCTAGTATTCAGGGAGTTTCTGCATTTGTTACATTACGATTAATCGTAGGGGTTTGAAGAACTTTGTATATTTTTTTTCTACCATTCATTTGCCACCAAACCACTCAGGCCATAATTACTATTTTTAAACTAATCGAAATACAAGGCAAAACAAAGAATAAATGGATGTTGCAATATTTACTTTTTACATTTAAATTTCCCGCTCAAAATGTACAGTGTTGGAAAACAGCTGGCCACCCCAAGAAGCCATACAAATTAGAGATGGTATTGCCGTATATCGTGACACGAGCACAGGGCTATTTAAAATGCATTTTTCTGCGAGCTTGTTTAGTTATTTCCAGGAGAAGGAATCCTGCGAATATCTGTTTGAGTGTTTTTAATATATTACCTCCCTAGTTTCCATGAAATGTAACCTTTTTACCTGAATTTCTCGGGGCCGCCACCCCTCCTTAAAAAAGTGTCACGCGCACATCTCTTTTGTGATATTGTTTTGATATTATATCTGCCTAGGAAGGATAAAATAGGGGCGTTTTTCGGTTGCACCTGGCTTTCACAAAGTGCTGCGCGTGCGCAGGTGCTAGGTCCTTCATTCGCGCCTTGGATTTGAAGGAATTAGGATCATCGGTTTCTGGTAAGTGCTTTATTTATGTTTTGACTTTCGCCAATTAACGAAAGGTTTCATATTACAGGTACATGTGCAGTTTTGGTTGCTATAGAAAACATTAAAAAGCATTCAAGGTTTTCCAATCACTTATTTGAACCTTTAAACTCAATGGACTTTACAGGATCCCCTGATACACGCGCTATAGAACTCGTACCGCCATGTGTTTTCCAGACCATCTGATTCAATAAGTTTCCGTCTCTACGAATCTCTCTATAACAATCCATGATGCAAAAGTGCAGCGAATTGGGAAAGAATTCCATGTGAGTAAAAAATCTATAACTAATAATAACCTTATCCCTAATAAATACAAATTCTAGGGCCTGGCAGCACTTCGTTCGCTTTGGTCAGAGCAACCTGAAGGTGAAGAAGGGCCCAGAGGGTCACTATCTGGAGAGCAGATGTCGCGAGGAGCTGGAGAAGCGGCTACCTGCGGAGTCCTTCAAGGAACTAATGGTCTTTGTGGCGAATTGGCTGAAGCGCCTGGACGAGAAGAATGGAATAGTAAGGCCTGCGGAAGAGGAATCGCCGCAGGAACCGAAGGATAAGCACTCCGATAAGGATGTGCATGTAGAGAAAGGAGCACCAGATAAAACACCCGCTGATCCTTCAGTTGTGGACCTCTGCAGCGACGAGGAAGACGCCTCCGCTGAGCGCTTTTCGGACAAGGAAACCCTGGACTGCGAATCGGTCATCTCCAGTTCGTCCCTTGTGATCCTCGACGAGGAGTTGGGCGAGGTTAACCTGAAGGACTATGCCGACCATGTCGATGGCAAACTGGATGAGACCTCCCTGAGGAAGCGGAAGAGCAGGGAGGAGGATAACACTCCTAGTAAGGCCACGAAACAGACCTCGATGAAGGCATTCTTGATTCCCAACGAGCGGGAGACTGAGACCGATGAGAGTCCCTCTCCCGTCCTCCGGCGATCCTTGAAAACGTATGTCAGAAGATCAAAGATAGCAGCAAGTGGAGAGAATCCCGGAAAAGATGTGCAGACTAGCAGCGAGAAGCGTAGCTCTCTGATCCTTCGGGAACTTAACCCTGAGGGTAAAACCAATTTGAATAGCTCCTCTAAGGAAGAATCGACGGCTGAAGTGATAGTTATCGAAGATCTGAGCCAAGAAGATAAGCTGGAACCCCCGATAGGCGAAAAATCAAAACCAAAGAATGTGGCCCTTCATGATACGAAACCAAAACCCTCGATAGAAGAGAAGCTAAACGGAAAAGCCATGAAAAATATAGAAACTCCACCCTGTGTTCCCTTAAAATGCAACGAAATTAAGGCAAAATCAGCAACTGATGTAAATTCAAATGCATCTATGAAATGCGAGACAAAAGTGCCTTTGGGAGAAGCCAAAGAAAACAGTGAACCAAATGCCAAAAATGAGGGACAAAAACCGAATGTTATTAAACCCGCTGGAGTAAAAACCATGCCGCTACTGACGGGTTTGCTGCTGGCCGATCCTCCGCCACAAGAAGAAGCTAACCAAGATTCCAATCCAGTAAATCCGGAAGTACAACCGAATACGGTGATTAATCAAAGAGCAGAACCCAATGCGATTAGGATACGTAATGACCTAGTTTCCACGCCAATGGAGGCGATTCGGGTTCGCACTGATCTGCTGCAGGAGCAAGTCAATCCAGTTGCTCCTCCTAATCCACCAGCTCAACCTTCTAATCCTCCAGGAGTAGCTGAAAAGCGAAAGTTGCCGACTGTAAATGATTGCGAATCCACTCTGCCCAAAAGGCCAGCTGTGGATAACTTTAATCCTGCAATTACCACCTCCAGATATACACCCAGTATCCCCGTTTCTGCTGCCCCTGTTAATACCCCCAGATATCGGCTAATTGCTCCTGCGCCCGCTTCATCAGTTGCCAATGTCAGATATCCACAATCTACTGCTGCTCCAGCTGCCGCCTCCAGTTATCCACCAGTGATTCCCACTGCACCGCTTACCATGAGCAACTATCAACCGAATAGGGCTCCCATTGCTCCCTTCAACAGGGGATATCCACCAACCAACGCTGCGATTGCTCCACGTATGAACAACTCCAGTTACCCAGTTAGATATCCACCGGAGGTTCCGGCGACTGCAGGAGGTGCCACCAACAAAAGTTATCCCTTATTTAGGCCTGTGCTCCCTGGAGCAACTAACACTGTGTGGTACCCTCCACCGGGATATCCGCCAGCTGTTCTTGCTCCAGTGACCACCAGCTATCAACCAGTTTGCCCACCTGTTTCCTGCTCATCCTCCACTTTTCGAGGACCTAGTACTGTGCCTTCTTCAGCTCCAGGATCCACCCCTTTAGCGAGATATCGTCCACCTAAACCGGCACCTGTTGTCGCTACAAGCTATCAACCAGTTATGTCCGCGGTTGTGGGATCAGCGAATGCACCTAGATATCCTCCCCCTCCTGCAGTTGTGGGATCAGCGAACACACCTAGATATCCTCCTTCTGCACGAATTGTCGCTACAAGCTATCAACCAGTTATGTCCGCGGTTGTGGGATCAGCGAATGCGACTAGATATCCTCCTCCTCCGCCAGTTGTCACCTCCATTAAACCTGCGGCACCTGCACCAGTAGCATCCTCCAGCTATCAACCAAATACTCCTGCGGCTCCACAACAAAATCAAAATAAAGGGAGCACCGATTTCTCGAAAGTTATGGGCATGTTGGGCCAGGTGGAGCTATATGCCTTTGGACAGAAGAATCAAGAGGCCTTCCACCTCGTCCATCAGCTACGCTTGAGCATCCAGAAGGCAGAGGCTGAGGCTCCACAGCGTAATGTGTAGCTTTTACCATTATTAACTATTTCGAGAGTCTAGTTTTAGGATATTAACTAGTTGCATCGCTAGTTTATAGAGTTTGTAAAATATGCCATTGTGTTAATATCGTGTATTAACGATATTAAATACTAAATTAGTTGAACAAGTATTGAATATTATTTTGAGAGCTTTAGATGTTTTGTCAGAAATACATTTTATGGTTTATGTACTTTATTTTCGAATTATATCCCTGAACTTTGTAAAATATTATTTTTGTTTTATAAATTGGCCACCAAAGAATTATAAGGGCATGTACATCTTTTAGATATTTTCCTTTTTGAGTTTTTTCTTTTTATTTCGCTATTTTGTACCTCAGCATGTTGACTTCTGAAAGATGCTAATAAAAAATGTTGAAATACATATTTCTCAAGAACACGTTTATTTTTTTTGTAAAGCTAAGTATTAAAAATAATGTCCAGTATTGAATGCTATTTGGAAATTAGCTGCCTTGAACATTAAGTTCTGTATAATAGTAATACAAAGTATTAATTTCAATGGATTACAATATCTGGAGGCTTTATTTGTACTCTCACTTTGAGCTGCCTTCAGCCTGCAAATGATTTAGCCATCTGTTGTTAATATTTCTGCACCTGTGGCACTTCAAGCAGATGAGCTCCCCACCTGCCTGAAATCTACAGCTGCAGTCGAAAAACTAGATCTAATGATGAACAGAAAAATAATTCATAATAATTATTAAGAAATAAATACTAATTACAAGAAATTAGCCTTTCTTTTGTGTTTTTCATTTTAAAAAATAATATAAGAAAATGTTTTATTTTTGTTAATGGCGGAAATTATTTTTAAAATGATTCGTTAAATAAGTTTGAAATTATGTTTAAAAAAGAAAGGAAATAAATATAATTTAATCAATAAAAAATACCGATCACTATATTTATGACCGCTCCTGTGCACCTGCAATTTACCTAGACAACTGGGGGGAAAAATTCAAATCACTGGGAACTGGGAGATGCCGATTGGGGCTGGTTTGGATGGTTTGCACCTGTCGTCCGCCCAACGCAAGTGAAAAATCAAGCGCAGCTTTAATTGATACAACAGCCGCAGTGGAAACCCAGTTCTGGGTGAGATGTGAGTTGCAATATGGGATATGCTGTGCTGGGGTGCAGTTTTAGTTGCACGTGTTGCCTGGCAAACTAGTCGCGGCAAAAATGCTGTAAGAAATGCCAGGCAGCTGCCGCTGAAAAGTGGGGGGCTTCCATAGGCTACAAAGACTCAGTACCCCACAATCGGGCGAATCGGGGAGGAAAAGCGCCCTTGGAGGGGCCAAGTCCTAAATGGGCATTGAAATTAAATGCAGCTGCTTTAATGACGCTGCTCCTTGGTTTGGCATCATATTCAGAGATGCCTTCCTAGCTTTTTGTCAGATTTATCTATTACACAGGCCAACAGTGTTTTTGGTGCAGCCCTATGGGCATTAAATTGTGTTAATATAGACGGATATAAGCATATCTGCATACTTAGTTTTCGAGTTTAACGGGTGGTATTTGTGCAATCGCGGTTTGAAAAAAGTAGCAACATTTTATATTTTCATTTAAGATATCTTCGAGGGTCTGTGCTCAGTTGTAATAAAACCTATGCCAAAAAATTGCTTAGATGCCCTTCTACATAATTGCATTTAAGGTTCCATCATTATTTGAGTTAATAAAAGCCTATGAGCCATTGAAGTAATTTGTTCACCTTTATTTACAACCAACTTGATGCGGTGAACAGGCTTAAAAAAATACAAGGAAAAATATGTGCCCTAAAATATTTTACATGCATCTAGAGGCGTCTTTTCCCGAATTTTTGAGATAAATCCCACTATTGTACTTCGAAGAATGGAATTTATAGAATTTTTTCCGTAAGAATGGGAAAAGTAACAAGTATTTTAGAGTCACTCTTACGTAACGAGTTTTTCGTGATTTTACACAGTAGGCTTTTTTAAAGATAACAGTGGCGTCGCCTTAAAATTGTGGTGGGGATTTTTTTTAAGGCATATTAACCCCTTAAAAATATAATTTGTCTATGTTCGGCGCCTACTCCTAACCAAATTGAAAGGCACATTTTTACGAATGTGTCAGATATTTATGTAAAATGGGATTTAAAAATAGTTGTTACTTTTTAAGTTCTTACGGAAAAAATTCTATAAATTCCATCCTTCGACGTACAATGGTCTTATTTGTCTTAAAAATTCGGTGAAAGACGCCTCTAGATGCCTGTAAAATATTTTAGGGCATATATTTTTCCTTGTATTTTTTTAAGCGTGTTCACCGCATCAAGTTGGTTGGGAATAGAGGTGAACAAATTACTTCAATGGCTCATAGGCTGTGATTGACTCAAATTATGATGGAACCTTAAGTGCAATAATGTAGAAGGGCATCTAAGCAATTTTTTGGCATAGGTTTTATTACAACTGAGCACAGACCCTCGAAGATATCTTAAATCAAAAAATTAAATGTTGCCATTTTTTTCAAACCGCGATTGCCAAATACCACCCGTTAAACGCGAAAACTAAGTATGCAGATATGCTTATATACGTCTATATTAACATGTTTTAATGCCAATAGGCCTGCACCTTTTAATAAAGTCCATTTTGTTGTCCTGTGTTATTGGTAAAGCAACATTGTTATTTTGAATGGATAGTAAAAACATTTTATTACCAGTTTTTTTTTAAATTTTACTGTAAATTGATTTTTTTTGGATATAGAAAAATAGTTAAGTCGGTAAACTTGAATTTTATTGCTTTGAATTCTCATTTTATGTATTCAAAGGAATATTTTTGTAATTTAAAGACCAATAACTTTAATGATATTCATTTTAGTACTTATAAATTCCTTTCAAGTAGTTTCAGTCATCACTGAAGGGCTAGGATACGATGGTCGATGGATCGTATGGTCAAATCTGTGAGTCTGCCACAAACGCTGCCCCAGTGGGCGTGTGGTGGGCGTGGCAGAGCAGCCACAGAGTGAAATACCCGCGGTGGTCGCCGTTTTCCTCGACTTGGTGGGCGCCAGCAATCTGCGGCAGCAGCAATCTGCGGCAGCAACATCAACGGCAACAATCTGCAACAGCAACAGAGCAAGAGCAACAGCAACTGCAACACAAGCAATCGCAACACGGCGCCTTTGCCTTTTTGGGACATTTAATGGGAGTTGCCGTTGCCTTTTTTGGTGCAACGAAATCAAGCAACAAAAATCGTTTTATCGCTCGATGCTTCTCTCGATGTTTTTCCCCTCGGATGATGATGATATCGTTTGTTTGTTTGTTTGCAATCGCCAGTTTGTTGGTTTATTTTTATTCGCCAGCAGCTGTGACTTGCAAGTTGCAACCATGAATATAAACGCTTTTTCAAGTGCTTAAGCCGGGCGAAAGGAGCAGCATTTAGGCTCAAATGATCGCAATTTGGCCAAAACCAGAGCCCAGCCCTCTGGAATCGATGCGATCATGAGTTGCACACGATCTTTTCGAATTTCGTCTGGATGGTCGGACATCAGCGATAAACACAGATCGGATCAGAGCAGAAAGGAATCTCAGAGGAGATCAATTGGAATTCAAAATCGATTGTGTAGAAATAAAATTATCTTATGATCCACCAAAAAAATAATAAAAAATATTTTACAATAAATCAATTTGCCATTATTATTATACAAATTAAAATTTAGTTGTAAACCAATAATATATTTATAATAATTATCTTTGAATATATTTTTCCTTAAAAAAATAGTACCATAAAATATTTAATGGTTAATATAAAATGTTTATAAAAATAGTACACCAAAATGCATGAGTATCAAATTAATCCTGTCATTTTGTATTATCCGTTGATAAAATATATGCTACAAAATCCGACATCCTAATTAAATGTGTGTTCCCAGACAGCCTTTTGTCGAGCCCAAATGTGTGTAAACAGTTGAACAATAACAAATTGCAGTTCTCACAGGCTTTGGCACGCTTCCCGAACAAAAACCAAAGTGAAAACGAAAGCGAAACGAAAACCACCCCGATGCATCAGATTGCAGGTGCGGATATAGTGCGATATAAGTAGTTAGTTACCATATAGGGGTGGGTATACGATTCGATCTGGGTTCTGGACAGTCGGCTGCTTCTCTTCTCAGCTCATCGCGAGTGAGAATCGGGAATCCAGAGAGTCACACGAGAACCGAAACAGTTGCTCATGTTGGTAAACAGAATGGGAATGGGAATGGTATAGTGGGAAGTATGGGATTCCGAGGGAAATACCTTGAAAACTAAGGGGTGGGTGGGACTCTGGACTCTGGTGTCGTGTGAACTTTGGCGAGGAATCACTCCCGCAGACTAATGAGAATCTCATATAGGAACCGAGTTTAAAACATTCAAATTGGCGCTTATTTCTCAGGAGGTGTGTGTCTGGTGTCTGGATCATAATGTGGGAATCAGACACAGAATGTATGGGAAGAATTCCTCACAATTTTTGGTGAGCTTCTTTTGACCAGTCTGCAATTACATGATCAAAAATTCTCCTCGCACTTTTTGCCGCCTCTTCAGTTCCGAAATATCTCGAGTGCCTTTCGCATGACCAAAGTGTGGGACTGGGAACTGATTCGGATTCGAATTCAGTTTCAGATTCATATATATATGGGCTATCCTTTCTGCATCTTAATGAATTGCCGGCCATTTGGGGCCGCGCTGCTAAACGAGCATTAACCTATTAAACCCAGGCCATAAGCCTCCCATAAAAGTTGACAAGAGCAGCTGGAAATTCTCAAAAACCCACAGTCAGAATTTTGTTAATGATGCCTAACCGAAAAAATGAAAGGATACGGCGCCTTTTGATTTTCAGCTCTGAACTTTATTTTATTTTTATTTTTTTTGGGTCCTAACTTTTATGAGCGAATGAGTGAGCCGAAAAGTTGGGCTTTCGGCGACACCTTTTAAGCGCGCCAATCGAATCAATGTTTTAACACGGGAATACCATTTCCGAAACGAGCTAATTAACGACTCCCGAAATAAACGAAAAGGGAGTCGAAAATTCTACGAATATCCCGGGCAGCTGCAAACGAAA